ATGTATTAAAATATTAGTCACTCGGCTAAATGAAGTTCAAACGCTCAAATGTAGAGAAGTAGTTCAAATGTAGAGAGGATCTTGTGGTTCAAGAAGGTTATATTATGTTTGAACAAGCAACCTTTTTGTTTAATACAGTTACTAACCATACTGTAATCCATCTCTAGAAAATAGTGAAATTTTTTGCTGAATCATGCATCGTGACTTATTTAAGCACATCAAAATCATCCTGCCTCACATCTCCTGGCAAAGTGGGATCATATAAACAGCCCCTTATTCAGCAAATTGTGCATGCTGCCTTTAATCCCTTGGGGTTGAGGCAGCATTTTCCTTGCGGTAGTAACTTCTAGTTTTAATTAAAATTTGGTAGTGAGAGATTATGTAGAAATTATTATAGTTACCAGTGCTGAGTAGATGTACTAGTCGAGTGGTAATCTCCTGCTGAGATAGAATTGCGGATCATAATTTAATGTCAGGGATCGTTGTTCAATTAATTCCACCAGAAAAAGTGTCAAGTAGAATAAAAAAGAGTTTAGGCAAGCGTAGGCGAGATGGTCTAGTGGTAAGGACAAAGTGTTGCAAGTGTGTGAAGCCAGGTTCGAATCCTGCTGTAGGCAAAAAGCATTTTAATGTCAGGTGTCGTTGTTAATTAATTCCACCCGAGACGACAAAGTGTTAAGTAGAATAAAAATGAGTTAAAGAAAGTGTAGGCGAGATGGTCTAGTGGTAAGGACAAAATGTTGAAAGTGTGTGAAGCCAGGTTCGATTCCTGCTGTAGTCAAAAAGCATTTTGGGTCCAACAAGTGTGTTCATGTGTGAGTAAAGGGTTTGGGGTTGGTTTATCTTATATATAAAATTCAACTATATAGTGACTATACAGCTGGTAGTTAATAGCCGGCCGCTGGCTGTGTCACTTCCAGGGGTTAATAGGCTGATTATTACTCATATTCTCATGTAAATTTGCGCGATATAAATATTAAATTATTATTATTATTATTATTATTATAATTTCAGCACGGCCTGTGTTATTCTGTAATACCTGTATTAATCATTTCAGCAACTTCGGCTAACTTGCGTTGTTTTTGCTGAACCCTCTGTCATTTAATGTGCATGCATAATATTAATATTTATTTATTAAGTAAATATGTTATACAGGGTGCCCCAGAGGGGACCAAACAGTGGCGTAGACAAGGGGGGGGGGCTCAGCCCCCCCCCCCCCAATAGGCTGAAGGACTGCCCTTGTAAAAAGATGAAATCCGGGTAGAAATTAGGGGGGGGGGGACGATGACTACCCATGTGACTACCAATCTCATCTGTTCACCAAATTGTCTATAAAAGTTCTAATCTTTCCTAAATCTAACTACAGAAAATAATGCCTATGGGGGTTATTGGTTAAAATGCGTTTTAAAACTTCGATTTAACTATTTACACGCGACCAAGTAAGCTTCGTTGAGTCAAATTAAGGATCCACAATATTGAGAAATCATTAAAAATCAGGTCTTTCCTGCAGTAAATAATCTTCAGAATTATGCAAAATCTCTCCCCAGAAACACGGGAAATCGCCATTGAGGGACTCCAGATTTCAAAATTTTCCCGGGGGAGAATGCCCCCGGACCCCTCCAAAAAGGCTTACGCCTTCAGCGTTCGATATATGCCCCCTCAAAAATTATAGTCTGGCTACGCCACTGGGACCAAAGCTGTTGAGATGGCGTGTTGCTTGGGAATTGAATTGCCTTAGCACTCTGCTGAAAAAGCTTGACAAAAGTAAATTTTACGAATAAAGAAACTGTTTAAGAAGTTGCTTTAAATTCCAAAGAGCAGATAATCGTGAGCTTACAAAGATATTTTAATTTCTTCAATACTCATATTATATGCATCATGTCAATCATATTTACGTATCTTTGCGTTCAGTTGGTGCTGGGGCGTTCGGATTCTGGCAGTGCGTTGTTTCAGTGGTTTTGGGTTTTTTTGGGACACCCTGTACAGTATACTGTACAAACCTTTTAATTAAAAAGGTTTATGTTAGGAAGAGCCGAAGAGGAGGGGCACCATGCAATGGACTTTACGTCCAGTTTGTGCCTTGTCCGTTTGAGTACAGCTCTTTAATTGTATGTTAGATGAATAATTGTTGAATTAATTTGTACTCGATAAAGTTTAACAAACAAACAAACATTATTAATTATATTAAACCCCTCGTGAATTAACAAAACAATCAACCTCACTGCCTCAAAACCCTCCTCCCCGTCATACAGCAAACTTTTAGCCGTTTTTTATAAATAAACAACGGATGTCGAGAGCCAGCGGTCCATCACGCTAGATATCTCGTCGCTAATATAAAAGGCATCGAAGTAGACTAGTTTGATAACCAAGTATTTTTAAAACCAACGACCTTTTTTATTTATTTCCGTTTCCGATGAAAAATTTTCCAATTTTGAAACACTGCTTGGTGACTTTAATTTCCTCGATGCAATCTTCGTGGTTTTAGTTTTAGAAAGCGTATGTTGTATGTACGTGCTGGGAAGAATCTAGTTTTGTTCGTATGATTTTTTTGGAAAATTTGAACGGCCATGTTGTTCGAGCCAAAACAAACTTGGTTACATGAAGTTCTGTGCCATCACATGACGTCAGTTTCAAGAGTTTTTGGCGGGAAAATTTGTAATGTTTGGAGAGGACAAGATGGCGCCGGTTTAATATTTACTTCGTGTCATCAGAGGGGATTTTTGTTCACAAATAACCGCTTATTTTACGTTATAGCGACTGGTTAGTTTTGGAAATTAGAACTCAATGGACAAGGAAAACGATTCTGTAGTAAAAAGAAAAAAGGCGTGTCAAGTTATTGACTTGTGATGTTAATATTTGTTGTGAAAGACGGCCGGAAATTTCGCTACATCGCTGTACTGGTTTATAAACAATTTCACTGGAAATTCGACCATGGATAAAGAGAGAATGAAAGAACAGCCTGTCTTAACGGTAAGTTTTTAAAGGGTTTTCAATTTTTGGTAATGTTTTTAGTTTAAAGCTTTCTCTCGAAACTATACTTCGGTAGAGACCGTAGAGTCAGTGGACAATTTTGGCTAACGTTGTTTTCTACATTCGTTGCTACCCAATTGACAACATTAGGTAAATCACGTGCCTATATTAAGTAGTTTTTCTTTGTTAGAATTTAATATACGACATTGGAACACCATTTTACATTTGTTTTAAAATTTAAAGGGCTGTAAAAGTCCATTCTGCGCATCATTCTGCTCTGCTGCCACAGAGCCCAAGCGTTGGTCTGTGTTGTATGTTTTTCAGTTTATTTATTTTAGTATCTTTAGGCCACATAAAATAAATTCCTTGATTCTCATCACCGCCCGACTGTATTTTAAGAGCTGCGTGAAATTTTTTAAAATTTTGTTGTACAATATAAATGAACCGCCCGACAAAATATTTCAAGACATTTAAGTTTTTTATATTTAAAATTTTGTTTTTAGTGCCATTTTAAACTGCCAATGGACCTTTCCCCTTATAACTAAAATTTCGATCTAGGCAAAAATTTCACCACAGCTTGAAAGAGCATCACAAAATTAGTAATATTCCAAAGTTTTGTTGCAAAATCTTGTAAAATGCGGATAATATAGCCTTGCGAAGTTTGCCGTTTTTCAGTCATTTTGTATTACAAACGGGAAATTGACATCCGATTCGGGTGTTGGGCTGCAATTTCCCGTTTGTAATGCAAAATGACTGAAAATTGCAAACTTCGCAATGCTCTATTTTCCTCATTTTACAACATTTCGCAACGAAACTTTGGAATATTACTAATTTTGTGATGCTCTTTCAAGCTGTGATGAAATATTTGTCTAGACTTGCCTAGATCAAAATTTTGGTTATAAGGGGAAAGGTCTATTTCTAACAAATAGAACCTTGAAAGAAATTTCATTGCATTTTAATGGTACTTTGCATTCAGTTCAAGGGTTCAGTCATTGTTCGTGGAGAAATATGTTCATTTTGGTTTGTGACACTTCACTTTGGAAATCACAGAAATATTAAATGTTAGGAATTATTTTTTTATTTATTGATGATAAATTATATAAATATAAAATATAAACCTCCCGGCTCTTCGACGTTTTCAAAGTCTAGTGATGAGAATCGAGGAATTTATTTTATGTGGCCTAAACTGAAAAACATACAAATACAAATCAACCGATATGTTGTTATTATATGTTTGACTATAGAAATATATATATATATATATATATTATATTAAGATGAAAATGTTCTAGAGTGTGTATTATATAATTTCCATACCCAGCGCATGCAGAAAGATGTATAATTCACACTCTAGAACATTTTCATCTTAACATATTACAGAAATATTAAATGTTAGCAATTATTTTTTTATTTATTGATGATAAATTATATAAATATAAAATATAAACCTCCCGGCTCTTCGACGTTTTCAAAGTCTAGTGATGAGAATCAAGGAATTTATTTTATGTGGCCTAAACTGAAAAACATACAAATACAAATCAACCGATATGTTGTTATTATATGTTTGACTATAGAAATATATATATATATATATATATATATATATATATATATATATATATATATATATATATATATATATATTAAGATGAAAATGTTCTAGAGTGTGTATTATATAATTTCCATACCCAGCGCATGCAGAAAGATGTATAATTCACACTCTAGAACATTTTCATCTTAACATATTACAGAGGTTACAATTACACAATTAACATACTAGAACATTTTCATCTTAACATATTACAGTCTACAGAGGTTACAATTACACAATTAACATATATATATATATATATATATATATATATATATATATATATATATACACACAAGACAAGTATGTATGCCATTCCGGCGCATCGTTAAGTAAAATTAAATGCTAGAACAAAATGCAAATTGAGTGAATTTGCAATCGGATTTTGTCACAGCAAAAAAATGTATGTTACAATTTTTTTGTGATCGGACCAATGTCCGATCAAAATTACTTTTGCTTGGACATTTGCCAAATTTAGTCGGACGTTGTCCAATGTCCGACAGTAATTTGCAGCCCTGAAATAACATTGCCCAAAGGTTTTACCCAAAATTCCAAAGGGATTTTACAACTTTAGAAAGTGGAAATATTTCCAGATACATGGGCCATCATTCCAATACCAAATTTATACTGGTTTATACTTAACAAACATAAAACATTTTTTTCTGTATTGATATACATTACAGTTACATCAACACATGTGGAAATTGGGAAAACGAGAAATTGTGTGGAAATATGACGCCCGGAGTGTTTTCAAACAATTTCGAGTTTTCCCAATTTCCACGAGTTATATCAACACAGCTCTTAGCCAATTAGCTTTCAGAATTTACAAATGCTGTATTATAATATAGTTTATTTTGTCTAAAAATACCCTCTGAGAAAGTTCACAAGCTAACCTCTTTGAAATTTGAGGTCCTTAACGTGTCTAGAAAAACAAATGCCATACCATCACAATATTTTATAATAGATATGAGTGGATCGTTTTATTTATATATGTGACCACTATATATTTAGATTTTCTGCATTTGTATTTCAGCGAGTGCCGGTTGCATGTTTGTCTAGGGCGTTGTGTGCAATCTAACATGCTGTAACATTGATCCTGTAATGGCCAATGTTTTGTTTTTTGTTCTCATTTTTTTCCTTTACGATTTTTCCTAAGATTGCCTTTATACAATATTTTTCGGTTAGGTTAGAGTTAGGGTCACGTTTCTTTTTAAGATAGTTAATAATTTGCACACCAATTTGAATTGTATTTATTATGCTAAATGCTGAGCCTCTGACATGATCTGATATGATCACAGACGGGGGTCACAGAAAGCCTGGGATAAACTGACTACCCCTGTTCGCAGGATACGTGCGTGGGAGACACGCACAATTTGTAATAACAGGCAGCAAGATACACTGTATAAGTAAGTGACAAGGGATGAAACTCTTAAAGTTTATCATATTATGAATGCCCTGACTTGAGTGGGCCAATAATTATGCAATGAGTGACATGTAAAATGAATGCTGTCAACCTTTGGTCCAGGGATGGATTTACTGGAGGGGGGGGGTGCGCACCTCCCCTAGCCCTGGCCAGGGGGGGTTCTATTTTTCATGATAAAGCAAAAAATTATCAGAGACAAAATGAGATTCAGTAATTTGAGTAATAACATGATGATAAGCGAACTGTGAACAACAATTACAATTCAAATACTGTAGCTAGACTTTACAGTAGTTAAGCAAGTTGATGGATGTGTAAAGCCACTGGAAAGCAATTGCAATGTACTTGTCTGGAAAATTTTTTTTCCCTAAAAAGTTGTTGATGGGTTTCAATGTTAAATTAAAAACCAACTACAGTACATTGGGTCCAACTACATTGGTCGCTATTAAAAACTATAGCAATTTATAAGACTTTAGGGCTTTTATTTCACAAAAGTTTCAATGGCTATTTACTTTAGCCTTAGACATATCATGTAGCCATATTTCAAGCGAAAATTCGTTTTAACAAGCACATGCAGCTTCAAAATAAAACATTGCCATACAAGACAAGGGTCTTGTTTCCTATTTTCAGCGGGAAATGTTACATGCATATCCTGCAAACAGGCTGTCAGGTTTGAAAGGCGCTGCTTTTATATAAGCTAATAATAGATGCTTGTGATGTTACTCTGAGTGTGTATCCACACCGGGCAAGCTTGAAAAATATGCCTGGCCCCGGTGGGCTAGTTGTAGGTTCAATTCCCACTGGGGCCAGGCATATTTTTCAAGCTTGCCTGGTGTGGATACACACTCAGATTAACATCACAAGCATCATATTTACCTGAGTACACTATACCAACACATAAAAATCATGATTATTAGATTACATTGATATCAAAGGAACTAGACTCAGTTCCGAAATATCACATACTCAAACCGACCTGACCGCATAGCTCAGTTGGCATACCATTGGGCTAGTATTCCAATTCAAAGGTCGTAGGTTCGATTCCCACCGGGGCCAAGCATATTTTTCAAGCTTGCCTGGTGTGGATACACACTCAGAGTAACATCACAAGCATCATATTGGGTCGTTCCAGAAAAGATCCACACTCCCCCCACAGAGGAAATTTCTGCTGTCCGGAGGGGGAGGGGAGAAAAAATTGTTCTGATCATAGGGTTAACTTCCAGATTCCTCCATGGGGGTGGTATGGATGTTTTCTGGAATGCCCTATTCACCTGAGTACACTACACCAACACAGAAAAATCATGATTATTAGATTACATTGATATCAAAGGAACTAGACTCAGTTGCAAAATATCCATAGACTGTTTTGTGGGGTGCACAGGGTGCCTAACCCCCCCCCCCAATATTAGCTATAACACCCCCCCACCCCCCCAACAAGTCAAGCTGTTGCTTCAAGTCAATCCGTGCAAAACCTCTTTTTAGAAACTTTTTAACTGAATTGTCTTTCTATGGAACAATCTCTCTCCAATCATTCGTAACAGTTCGTCTGTTTCATCCTTTAACTTACAGCTCCATTCTTACTGCTCTTCTCAATTAGACTCTTCTTTCGATGTTAACAGATTGCGCACTTGGAAAACCAACTGCTCCAAATGCCGTTCTTTCAACTTAAGCTGTTGCTCATGATCTAAACTATTATTTTTTATATAGTTATGTAAATAGTGTTCTAGTCCTTGTCTTTAATGTTTGTCTACTTATTGTATTGTATCAGGTTGGTCTTCACATGGGACTCATGTCCTGTTGACCATACCTTCAATAATTGTTATATTTTTTGTATGATTGTAAAGTTAATAAATAAATAAATTTGGGAAGCGATTTATTGCTATTCGTAGATTCCTGTACGCGTAGCGTACCTATTTTTTCCTCTTGGCGAGGAGAGAAAAGACCCTGGTAGATGCTGGTCACATAATCTGCTAAACTCTAGCAGATTATTAATTAGAAATTCAAGATGAGGTCAATAAGTATTTGATTTTTGGATGATTTTTACATTTATAACCCTATAAGTGGCAATGTGTCCCGGTGTGCCCTACTGTCTAATTTATTAATGCCAGACATGTGCCCTATGCACCCCGATGTGCCCTATGCACCCTGATGTGCGCAATGTACTGTCTAATGCCAGATGATTTTACTTGTCAAGTTCCCCCTCCCAAGTGAAGAGGAAAGATCCTAGGTACAGATGTTGAGTTACCTGCCTTGGGCAAAGAGATTAAAAATTTAGGGGTGCACCAGAACATTTTTAAAGTTCCGGCCAGAACCGGATTTGGCCAGAACTGGAAAAAAGTTCTGGCTGGAAGTTCTGGCCGGAAATGATTTATTAGCCATATATGGAGGGTATTACATGGCAGCGCGAAGATATGACTTTTTATCTTTGAGTGGTGAAAACAATATTGGTGGAAAGTAATTGTTTTGTGAGAGAAATGGTTATTGACAATGTTCAGAAAGTTTGGAATAGTTCAGGGCTTTTTTTCCAGGGCTGTAGTTAGAATGCTAATTAGGGGGGGGGGGGGTGCATATTCATATATTCATGTTCACATACTGTAAAAACGATCGATTTCAAAAGAAATCTGTCAGGCAGAACACAAATATATATTCATGTATATTCATACACCCCCAATCAGTGTTATACTAAGCTACGGCCCTTTCCTGTGCAAGGGTTCTTTGAAAAATGTTTTAAAACATGTTTTTATCAGTCGAAAGTAGTTATTTTGATGAGAGAAATGTTTATCAACAATTTTCAGAAAGTTCAGAAGATTTTGTGGTTTGTTTTCAATTTTTGGAAAATTTCCTAGGGTTGCTTTGTTCCCCTTTGCATTTTGCCGAAAATATATAATTTTTTTTTCGGTAGATGGTATAAAATGTTTCTCGACAATTTGCAGAAAATTTGGAATAGTTTGGGGAACGTTTTGAATTTTTAAAAAATTTACTGTGGTTCCACTTTTTATGACCCTAAGGTTTTATGACTCCTCCCCCTTCACTTTACCCAAAAAAATTAAAACATATATTATTTTTATTGGTCGAAACTAATTGAGTAATTGAAGATGTTTTGGCGCTGACCATGATAGGTTTCTGTTGATGCATTGGCATTCATTTTGTAAAATGCAAATTTAGAAATTAGAAATTCTGAATAATATTTTTGTATGCCAATACCGGTAAGATTTAAATTCCCTTAGGGAATTATTGGCATAGAAAATTATAATTCGGGATTATAATAATTTTGTATGCTTCATTCAATATATTGACCAATCAGGGAGATTATTTTGTGAATACCCACAATGCTGAACAGAAATAGCATTCCAGAGTAAATTATATTCAAATTTTTATTTAAATTTAGGGTGTGTTGCAGCTCTATATTCTGCCCGTTGCCTCGTGTAGTTTAGTCAAAGTCGTCGCCTATTTGTGAACAGAAGTACTTCAAGGATGAGGAAGGATGAAGATGCAACGTTTAAATACAGCAAAGAAGCACAAACTCCGAAGTTAAATACATGATTAAGGTATGTTCTATCAATTTGATGTGAAATGTAACAAGTTAACTGTATTTGGTCGAAGTCGCTTAAATATCGTTCGACGTCTTGTTCTGGAGTAAAGATACTGAATTAAACCTTAAGATTTCGTGAAGTTTAGTTTAAATTAGTAGAGAGATAAGTGCATAAAGTATTCAGGGTATTTTGGAGCTAAATTTGTTTTAAAATCTGTCATTTTAGCGAAAACAAGAAATGTTGAATTTGAATGTCGTCCACGTGGAACACAACGCGTTTTTTCTGGTCGCCCAGATCGTTGCGAGGAGGCATTGGGCATTGTAATCAATGGATGACAATGTGTGTCGCTGGCAAACCTACACTCCCCACTGCGACAGGCAGTCAAGCATTTTTAACCTGCACATTTTTGTTTTTATTTCCCGTATTTTTATTTTATGTTCATAAATATCATGACTCATGACTAAAAGCTGGAAGGAGTTGAGATTCCCCACTTAACTGCATGCCTTCTGATCATTTATAGACTCCATTTTACATGCTACCATTTTACCAGGAAGAATTTTTGGAATATATAGTCATATAGAGCCCAACTATATGTCTTTGGCTCTGGGAATAAGTTCTTTGTATAAAAAAATAGGTACGCATAGCATGCATAGGCAGTGGCATTTCAACTTTATTATTTTTCCAAGGTCTCTGTGAGACTTTGAGTCATTCAGCATGAACAAGCAGTACATGTAAAAAGAAAGGCGCCGCTTTTTGGGTGTACTGTTTGTCCATGTTGAATGGCTGGAAGTGTTGCAGGTATCTTGGGATATCTAATAAAGTTGTGATGTTATTTCAGTTCTGTTTCTATAAAGGGCAGAGTGAAAAATGGCCGTTAACATTAAAAACTACAGTTGATTATATTTAGGGATGCCGGAGAAGGGGAGGGGTATTGGGGAGGGGAGCATATTGCTTAGGCTTTCGAAATATAGACCGCATAGTTAATTGATATTTCAAATTTATTAAAACCTAAGATTCATTGCCTATGTGCGTTTTAGTAACAATGAAAGGCAAGTATAAAGTGCCATTCACAGTTTTGGGGTATAAAGCCCCTTTACGCTGCGCTTACGCTCAATTTTTGGTGCGCACTATGTGCATTAGTTTTACACAAGTATATATATAGTGTCGTTAAACTGCATGCCAAAAATTTCTGTTGACTGTTAGAATGGTGGCTTGTATGTAGGGATATCTTGCTAGGATTTGCACATTTAAATATTTACAAGTGCATTAGGCCTCTTAGGTTTTAGTTTAAGACCAACATGAGCGAGTGAGATAAACTCGACTAGCTTAGGATAAGGCATCAAGCGTGAAATCCACTCACTAGACCCCTCAGGATCGGACCCCAATTGACCTTTTTTCAATACCAAATGTGAAATTACCCCAACCTTGCCCACATCGTTGAAGAGTCATGGTGGATATCTTGGGCAAATGTGCATTTTCTTGGTGGATATCTTGGGGAATACATTCAATACCATCAGGGATATCTTGGGCAAATGTGCAATATACCTTGAGGGATATCTTGGGCAAATGTGCAATATGGCAAATGGGCAAATATCTTGGAAAAACTCGTACAATTTAAACTAAAGAAGGGTGATGTCTTAAGGTTAGTGGATATTTATAATAGCGATAAAATGGGGGTTCCCTGCGAATAGGAACAAAGTAAAGGCCCACACAGACCAGACGCGATTCGGCAACGCGACACAAATTTTCAGTTTTCAAAAACAAATAAAACTGTCAACGGATAAAAATTTTACAAGATATGTAGACCAAATAGCTAAAATTGCTTAAGTGGTCCTGAATATTTGAAAAACACTGAAAAATATTAACTAATAAAGTTAAATGTCATTGAAAATTGAAAATTTGCGTTGCGTTGCCAAATCGCGTCAGGTCTGTATGGGCCTTGAGGCTGCCCAATTAATTAATTAAGTGGAAACAATATGACAAATTTCAATATGGCGGAGTGCAGAGGGCGGAGCGTAACAATCTAACAATATGGAGGACTGACTAATCTGTAAAAATGATGCATGTTTAGAATATGCAAAAAGAAAAAATGTGACATAAACATGCTTATAATTACAACTGCGTGCTATGTTATTTGAATAAGTTTTTAGTAGGCATGATGTAGGATTTTAATTTTATTTTCATTTGTGATTTTTTATAAATGCCCCAACTTGTTTTATAATATATAGATTATAAATTTTGTAATACAGAAAATAATAGAATGTAGACATTGATAATGTATATAACTACATGCTGTGAGCCTGTGTTGATAGGAATTTGAATAAGTTTTTAGGGTTGAATAAGTTTTTAGTAGGCATGATTCAGGGTTATTGTTTTGTTTTTATTGATGATTTTTAAGGATTTGCGAAGCAAAATCCTTTATGTGTCATTGGGTGTGTAAGATAGATTTTCAGATGTAAACACAAATGATGTAGATAATTGACGTTGAATTCCGAGTCGAGTATTCGTGAAACGTCGGAAGCTATTATCCGCCATTTGTATTTGTCATTATACTTTGAGCTAAATGAAGGAATATATGACTGTTTTGTGCTAGAAATACAAATGGAAAAGGTCCTGAAAGACAAATTTGTTCAACCCAGGAGCAGAGTTATAAAATAAAACACACAGGATGCACAGAACACAAAATATAATCAATGTGTGACGTACAGTACGTGTTTGAGGGCCTGAGGCATGTATTTGTAGGATAATGTTTGTTTTCCTTGCTTCAACTTGTGAATTGTTTTGATTCAGGCACCCTGCCTGTAAAGGCCATAATTTAGTATATAAAATGTGACTGCACTTTGTTCATTGTTCACTCAATGGACTTTGGCCACTGACCACTGTAAGTTCTATATTATTATTATTGTATAACATATTGGTTTATTAGTTTAATACTGTGAAAATAAGGTGGTAGATAATGACAAAAATTGCTGCTCACATTGATAATTAAAGCAAATATATGCATCTGTAAATACATTATTACCTCGTATACTACTGTATATCTTATATTTTAATACTTGATATATTTTATACTATGTTTTCTATTTTGTATTAAATAGCTTTTAAATACTTTTCATATTTGCTGTATATACTTCTTGTTCACACACCCCTCGTGGAAATCAGCTTTAGTGGACAAGGTTAGCGTGGTTAAATAAATGATCTATCTATCTAAATGGCAGACCTATAGCAGCATTAGGCTTAATATGAAATCCGATAGCAAAACTTTTGTTATACTTATACAATTCACCTCACGTCTTAAGAATGTTTTGTTGTTTGTATTTACACGTATACTAAAGCATAATTCAACAGATTCCACTTGGTCTTGGAAATAATATATAATCTGGCTGTATGTCAAGATGTGTACGTAAGAAGTGTGTACGAAGAAGTGTGCAGTTGAACAGATTCCACTTCGTCTTGGAAATATTATATATTCTTGCTTATGCTTTAACTGGTCTTGGTAGTTTGTCATTAATTCGTTTGTCCATTCATTCACTGTCATAGAGTAATCTTTCCAGGGGGTGTATACGATTTATGTTTGTTGTGATTTATTGTACTTAGTCAGTGCTTTGAAGGCTATTTAGGCAATCGCAGTTGTCCGATTTAAATATAATTACAGTTCACAAAAAGTTTGAGGAATTGTTGTCATTGTAATTTTTTAAAAATTTTATAACATTTGCTTCTCATGTTGTGTAAAGGATCTTTAAGAGTTACATAAATTACCTGTTTGATTTTCATGCAATAAGTCGTCTATTAACTTAAAAAAGACCCATTTCATGATTTTCAGACCAAGACAAAAACAATGCAACATTGAGCTAGACATTTTGCTAAATAATTATAAAATCGAATTAGTAAAAGGATTAGTTTTCTCGGGGTGATCCTAGATGAACATCTTGCGTGGAAATCCCATATATCGTACATATATAGCCAGGAAAATTTCGAAATCGATTGGGGTTATAAAAAAAGCAAGCTTTTACGTTTCTAAATCGTTATTAGTTTTGTTATACTATTCTATTATTTATCCACATATGCAATATTTATACTAGTCTCAGGGCTCCATTTATCCGTCAAATTTAAATCGTATTGTGTTGTTGCAAAAGCATGTTATTAGAATAATAAACCACGAGGTATATATGATGCTCATACAGAGCCTATTTTCAAAGAACTTGAGTTGCTGACTTTCCATCAAGTGTATTTGTTTCACTTAGGTAAATTTATGTTCCTGTATCATAAACAAAGGTTACCACTCAATTTTAATACTTTTTTTCATCAAGTTAGTGAAATTCATGCGTATAATACGTGGAATTTGAATTTATATTCCATTCCATTATGTAGAACAAATATTAGACAATTTTCTGTTAACTACCAAGGTTTAAAATTGTTTAATTCACTCAGTGATGATATTTGTGATGCTTTATCTGTTGGCTGTTTTAGACAAAGACTATATAAAGCAGTAAAAGAATACTTATTAAATTTATAGTTTTCTGTCCATTTATCACTTTCTTTGCCTCTTTAATTGTACTTTAATTTGTATTAGTTTGTATTAGCTATATGTATTTAGCAGCGCAAATGCGTATGTGCTATCAAGCCATAGATCACAATGGTGTGAGATGAGATGTCAATAGACAATTTCTTTTTGTGAAATATTATGTGAAATATTATATTTTGCTGATCGATGACTTATATATTACATAGATTCTCAAAGATTTACTCAATATTCATGTCTGTTTGAAATGTTTATACATTTGGAAATAACACTGTGTCGCTCCTTCCTGGTATCTTACGACATTCTGTGCACAATGACCTTTGATATTACTTGTTGTGTAACCTGATAATATTTCCTTCATTATTTCTGTCAGTGTTTATTTCTTTGCTTAATGACACCATACTTAATTTTAGTGGGCATGATTTAATATTTTTGTTTCTATTTATGATTTTTTATAAATGGGGTTTCCCACTAATTTGAAATATGTTATTACTAATAACATACAGTTGTAATGAACCTCCGTATGAATACCGTGAACCACTGAGTACCATGAACCTCTGAATATAAGCCCTGGCTTATATTCGTTTGTAAGAGTTTTTGTTGGGCTAATACTCAGGGGAGCTCGTAAATGGGCTTATATATATGGACAACAGTTTGTGTTAGTGTAATAGTGATAAACAATAGTGATAAACAAGTATAGTAATATTGATAAATAATGATATGATAAATATAAGTGGCGTTATATTTGGGTGGGCTAATATTTGGGGGAGGGCTCGTATTTGGAATGGTGTGAACATTGGCATTAATGTGGTGGGCTCATATCTATCTAACAGTACAGTCAGATTTGTAAAATAGATTCTAGACATATCTTTATAATAACCTTTATACATACAAGGAACACATTTGATATATAACACAATGTTGAAGTGTTTACTTTTGTAATATGTTGTAGTAACTAAATATACAATTTATTTAATTCTGGAAATGTATCTAAAAGAATTATGAGTGCATTTGTAATATATTTTAAATATTAATTGTGTTTTTATTTCCTGTATTTTTATTTTATGTTCATACTGTAAATATATCATGAATCATGACTTTAAATCAGGAAGGAGTTGAGAGCCCCCACCAACTGCATGCTTTCTGAACTTTAGACTCTCCATTTTACATGCTATATACTATTTTACCAGTAAGAATTGTTTGAAAATTTAAAAGCTGTTGCTTTCAACAATATAGAGCCCAACTATCTGTCATTGACTCCGGGAATAAATGCTTTGCATGCATGGGCAGTACGTGGGCATTTCAACTTGAATATTATTTTTTCAAAGTGTCTGCGAGACATCCATCCAGTCATTCATCATGAACAAAGCAGTACATGTAAAAAGAAAGGCGCCACTTTTTGGGTGTACTGTTTGTGTGTGTTGAATGGCTGGAAGTGTTGCAGGTATTTTGGTATATCTAACAAAGTTGTGATGATTTCAGTGATGTATCTATAAAGGCAGCTTGCTATGGCTATATGCCTTAGCCTAAAATTAACAACATGGTTTACTCTGGTGCATAATATATGATGCACACAAGCAAAAGTTGCAGCATAAACATAACGAAACATGCTTCTCACAACTACCTGGCTGGCATGTTGCTACCAATTTGAATACGTTTTTAGTAGGCATGATTTAGAATTTTGGTTTATCATTATGATTTTCTATAAATTGGGGCCCCAACCAATTTGATATATGATAATATATAATATATAGATTGTAAAATTTTATAATATAGAAAATAATAGAGTTCTTATAATATATATGTATCTAATACAACAACTACATGTGATATGTTGATAGGAATTTGAATAAGTTTTTAGTAGGCATGATTTAGGATTTTTGTTTTAATTGATGGTTTTCTATAAATGAGTGCCCCAACTAATTTGAGATATAATAATGTATAAAATATAGATTGTAAAATTTTATAATATAGAAAAATAATAGTTATAATATATCTATCTATCTAATACAAACAAGTAGTCTGTGATATGTTGATAGGAATTTGAATAAGTTTTTAGTAGGCATGATTTAGAATTTGTTTTATTTCTATTTATGATATTCTATAAATGGGAACCACAACTAATTTGAGATATAATATGTAGAGCTGCTACCATCGGTTAATTTTCGTAATCAACGAAGTTTACCAAACACCTTTGAGTGTTAATTTTGCCCAAAATTTATTTATTGGTTTCCACGAGCATTTATAGACTAGTTATACTTACAAATGCTATATTATAAATATGTATCTAATACAACTACATGTTGATATAATACAGCTATATGTTGATAGGAATGTTAATAATTAAACTGCTCATTAATAATTCATGAGGAAAACACAAAGAAAAATCATACGCATGCCGTAGCTTTATATGTGATAAAACTTATCTTCATTAGTATGTTTATATAACGCTTCATCTTAATTAGTATTCTTTTGTAGTCGGAGTTTAATTAAGCCATTTAAAGCACTTGTAGTTGTAGCCACTTGTAGGCCAGATTTAGAACTTTTGTTTTATGTTACGATTTTCATACGGAATGGCGGCCCCAACTAAGTTGAAATTGTAATAATGTATATTAGTATAATTACATAGGTGATTATTAAAAATTCTCCATGCTGATTGGTTGCCGTTGAGGTGATTATAACACGATAATTACCTAAGCAATTTTTGCCATGGCGACAAAGCCGTTTTGTCGATCAAATGACAAAAAAAGGGGGTGGTATTTTTTTATTTTTTCCCCCAAATAATCACCTTTGAAATTATACTAATACAATTATTCACCAATAATAGAATTTCTATAATATATACATGTTATTTTCTGCCAATTGAGAAACGAAAAAGGCAGAAAATGTTTTTCTCACACACTGCTGGGGCGGGGGGGGGGGGCTGCATCAAAAGCTTTGCAGTAATAAATTTATGTGGTTTTTTCCACAAACAAAAAAGTATTATACATACTATTTGAATTTTAGTCTACAGTAGGCCTGATTTAGGATTTTTGTTCTTATTTATGATTTTCTATCAATGTAGCCCCGACTAATTTGAGTTATAATAATCTATAATATATAGATTGTAAATTTGGTAATAATAGAGATCCTATTTAATACAACTGCATGATATATGTTGATAGGAATTTGAACAAGTTTTTTTAGGCATGATTTAGGATAATTTTGTTTTATTCATGATTTTCTATAAATGGGGGGGGGGCACTCAAACGGCATGGTTTCTGAACATTAATTAGACTTCATTTTGCATGCTTACTATTTTACCAGTAAGAATTATATTGAGATTTGAAAGCCATTGTTTTCAACTACATAAAGCCTGCATGGGTAGTAGCATTACAACTTTATTATTTTTCCAAGGTCTCTGCGAGACATCGAGTCATTCAGCATGGGCAAGCAGTACATGTAAAAAGAAGGCGCCGCTTTTTGGGTGTACTATTTGTCCACGTGGAATGGCTGGAAGTGCTGCAGGTATCTTGGGATATCTAATAAAGTTGTGACGTTATTTCGGTGCTGTTTCTATAAAGTGCAGCTTGCTTATGGCTATATGCGTTAGCCTAAAAAATTAAATTATTTTTCAAATAAAACGTTAAGTGCTGTTTCCATAAAAAAGACGGCTTACTTCTGGCCTTAGCCAAAAAATAACAACTAGGGTTTTACTATAGGGGTCGAGGGCATTGCCCCATATTTGGGATGTTTGCGCACACATCAACATTTGTGCTTCAGTATGGGAAAGGACGAAACTGCTACTATATGGCCATATTATAGTGCTGTTTCTATAATGGCAGTGATTGCCTTTGCTATACGCTTAATTAAGCTTTCGAAATGGACAGCACAGTTTACTGATATTTCAAATTTAGAAAAACCTTAGATTCACTGCCTATGTGTGTTTTAGTTACAATAAAGTGCCATTCATGGCTTAGGTGTATAAGTGTATATACGTTCTATAAAACTATGCAGTAGTTTTACCCAAGTATATATATACAGGGTTATTAATACATGCTAAAAGTTTCTGTTTTGTAAGTGGGGTATTTTTCCAGGATTTGCACATATTGGATTGTATGACCAGCCCCCAACCACCCGGAGAAAACAGGGTCACCAGTAAATTGCGTTGAAAAAAAATAGGGTCAGCAGAAAAAATAGGGTTGGTAAGCAGGAACCACGGGTATTTTTTAGGCTATTTATGATTTTCTATAAATCCGGGGCCCCAACTAAGTTGAGATGTAATAATGTGGTAGATAGATTGTAATTTTGTAGTATAGAAAATAATAGAATTCCTATAAGATAGACATGATTTTGGATTTTTTGTTTTTTATTTATGATATTATATAAATGGGGGCCACAACTAATTTGAGATATGATTTGGTATATAGCATGTAAATTTTGTAAATATAGAAAATAATAGAGTTCTTATATAATATGTATGCATCTAATACAACTACATGGTATGTTCATAGGCATTTGTTATATTTTCATTTATGATTTTATATAATCCTGGTTTAGCGAGAAAATATTTTGACAAGTGAAATATCGCTTTTTTTATGAAAATCATATGAAAAGTTACACTGTGTTTATCAGACGTCTTCACATGTCTTGCTTGTTTGCCAGGCAAGATCTTGGTGACTTTGTATTTGACCCATATTTTTCCAACGTATTTATATCAATGGAAATACTTACATTTGGAATGTAGAATTTTTAGCCTTTTTTCATTTTTTGAAAATGGCAGTAAAATGCCCTAATAGAGTAAGGCATTAAGTTAGGGCTATAGCCTTAACTTTTCGTCCATTTTTAGCGTAAATTTCGTCCATGTAGAGTACTGTTGCAAGTAGAGAGTACTGTTGCAAGTAGAGAGTACTCTTGCAAGTAGAGAGTACTGTTGCAAGTAGAGAGTACTGTTGCAAGTAGAGAGTACTGTTGCAAGTAGAGAGTACTGTTGCAAGTAGAGAGTACTGTTGCAAGTAGAGAGTACTGTTGCAAGTAGAGAGTACTGTTGCAAGTAGAGAGTACTGTTGCAAGTAGAGAGTACTCTTGCAAGTAGAGAGTACTCTTGCAAGTAGAGAGTACTCTTGCAAGTAGAGAGTACTCTTGCAAGTAGAGAGTACTCTTGCAAGTAGAGAGTACTCTTGCAAGTAGAGAGTACTCTTGCAAGTAGAGAGTACTCTTGCAAGTAGAGAGTACTCTTGCAAGTAGAGAGTACTCTTGCAAGGAGAGAGTACTCTTGCAAGTAGAGAGTACTCTTGCAAGTAGAGAGTACTCTTGCAAGTAGAGAGTACTCTTGCAAGTATAAAAAATGGATCCAATGGATTTTAGTTATATAAAAATAATTGGATTTTAGTTATATAAAAAAAAATGGATCCGATGGATCCAATGGAATAATTGGATTTTAGTTATATAAAAAAAAATGGATCCGATGGATCCAATGGATACATTGTTTTTTTTTAGTTATATAAAAAAAATGGATCCATCGGATCCATTTTTTTTTATATAACTAAAATCCAGTGGATCCATCGGATCCATTTTTTTTTATATAACTAAAATCCAGTGGATCCATCGGATCCATTTTTTTTATATAACTAAAATCCAATGTATCCATTGGATCCATCGGATCCATCAGATCCATCGGATCCATTTTTTTTTATATAACTAAAATCCATTGGATCCATCGGATCCATTTTTTTTTTATATAACTAAAATCCATTGGATCCATCAGATCCATCGG